TCCCAAAGGCTGCCCGGTGCCCAGGGAGCCGTGCTCCACCCGGGACACCTCCCTGTCCTGGAAACGCCTCCACCCGCCGCACCTGACAGGCTCCTCCTGCCAGCCGGACAAACTTTTCTAAGTAAAATACTTAAAGATGAATGTAACTGAAATACCAGTACAAACAACCACCACAGACCATCAGGAACCGGAAATAAGTTGCTTTCTTTTTCTCTTCTGTATTTAAGATGGGAAATACAGTTTTACAAAACGTGTGCATTTCTCAATTAATGCTTTTGTTAATGACAACTCAAGTGAGACAACCACTCCGGTAACAACAGTTATGGAAGGGTTATAACGTGTCTACAAAAATATGAACAACATTTACAGTAAATAACAGATTAGTGACATTAACACTGGCAGCCGAATTCAGCCACGGTGTAAACTCTTGCAACCCCCCTGACCTGCCTGAAGGCTGCATTTGTCTCAGTACCTGTGTGAAAAACGTGCTTTTTACACAATACTATCGATTTGGTGCTTCCACACGTGCCTTGGAATTTTTCTCCTACACGCAGAGCGTTTTGGGCCGGCACCTACTCCTCCACAGTGCATTCATACTCGCGTGTGCCCTTCCCACATTCAGCTACGACTCTGCTCAACTTGTTTCACGCTGGAGTGCGGAATAAAAGGGATGCACACAAAATCCTTCCAGGCAAGTGTACAGCTTAAGGAGTATTGAGTACTGGGGAGACAGCGATTGTAATGTTAATGGCAGCAATAATGACCTCGCTGCAGGGCGTTTCCCGGCAAATACTGGAATTTTTGGTTCTTTTTTTTACTAACGAGTGCCCACAGGTGCAATTTCTCTAACACATTAGAAGTAAAAAATGCAGGAGTTAGAACCTCACTATTATTAATTGATTTATTCCTGCATTATGCTAAGAGCCATCTTACTGAAGCTTAAGTGTTCTTGCTCTAACAGCCTGCTCTTAAATCAGCAAACCATGTACTGAATTTTAAGCATGCAGCTATATTTTACATGGGAACACAATGAGATTCAGGCTAGTTCAGAAAGTCAAGTTGCTTTGTCCAGAGATGGACATAAGCTTGTGCTGAAATACATCTCTGAGTCGGGAACACAGACAAATAGGATGTCTAAATACAGTACTGGACCAAGGTTCTGCCTTTCTGCCTCACAACATTTTGTTTCTGTGCCTCTGAATAAAGTCACACAACGACAAAACTTAATGAGCATACACCCTGTTTTTACCCATATGGAAACATCCTGCTCCTGATTTCCAGTCTGCAGCAAAACCTCATACAAAGCACTTCTGGGAAAGGTAGAGGCAGAGGGGAGCAGACACTGAGTAAACAAATGCAAATTCTTGGTCCTTAATTCCATTTGCTACTGACACACATTTCCTCAAGGAATTATCCTGCTCACTTATGTCTCCCTCTCTTTGAAATACACGGTAAGGCAGGGCTTTAACCCCCCCAAAGTAAGGAAGGGGTAGCCCAGGAAGGCACAGAAAGGTTCCTCAAGCTGGATATATTCTCATCCCTCTTTTCCTTACAGAACTTCCCACCTTTGCATCTTGTTTCACTGCCAGCAGCTTGGCTGTGCTGAGTTCCCCTTCTTTGGCAGCAGGGCTGACCAACCCTCTCACAAAGGCCTAACAAGGTAATGTCTGTACAGTGCTTAAGAACATGCAAAGTGCAATATAAGTGCCAAATGTTCTTATTTTTGAGATTAATGAATTAATACTCCAAGAAATAGAAGCACTGAGGTAACTACAGCTTAAATACATTCCCTCATGATTAAAAAAAACCAACCCAGCTAATATTCTTCTCTCTAGAAGATGAATCCTGAATATGAAGTGGTAATATTTATATTGTCAAGCTTAGCACAGCCACAGAGTGCCCTTTAAATAACAGCAAAACCAGGGACATGAGCTGAAGTTCTCAGAGAAACTAAGAATTCTGCACTAATAATTTCCTCAAATCTCATCTCCGTGCTGTTCCCAGCACGTTTACTCCCATTCATTACATCCAGAGGAGCTGGTGTCCCATGCCTCTGAAGCAAAGCGCAGTCCAATGTCAGATCTGGCATTCTGATGGCTGAACAAACTGAAATATCCCCCAGCAAAGGTAAGTACCTACAATCTGCATGAGCTCTCTTAAAAGGTCAGGTTTTGCCCTTACTGAAGTTCCTCAGCTGGGAGCCTGAGGCAGTAAGGCTTTATGTACTATCCAATGCACAAGCTCCTATCAGAGCACTCCAGCTATCAAGTGTCAACCAATTATCCTGGTGGTCAGAACAGGATGGATGTAACAATGAATTAAACACTGCATATGTTCCTGTATCTGTTTTGTTCCTGTATTAGCTTTGGCCAATAATGGACCAAAGATTCAACTGACTAACCATCTGGTCAGTGAAACCAAGCCCTGCATTCCTATGCACTGTGTGATAGTGATGTGGCAGAAGAGTCAGTAGCACCCTAACCAGTAAACAAACACTGCTGCAAAATGCTGATGCAAGTACCAGAATCCAGCTGTTTCCAGGTGTTGAAAAAACACTGGAAACGTCTCAACAAGGTATCCTGGTTCTGGTGAAACACTACCAGTTGCAGTAGGCCCTGCTTAGTGGTTTCATTCTGTTTTCCTACTCCAGTGCTTGTGTCAAATGTTCCCTTCATCGATGCTCTGCAACTTCAGTCTTTGGCTGGCATGGGGCCTGGCACCACGCCGGGCATTCCCACTGCTTCCTGCAGGAGTCCACAAGGGGAACAGGGCTCCTGGTAAAGCATCTTCCCCAAACAGGCTGAGTTTCACATCAGCTTCTATAGCTCGGGCCAGGCTGGCTGCATAGCTGTCCAGAGATTTATGGACTTCAGCTTTTACATGAAGAACAGAATTCTTTGCAGCTTCTGAAAAAAAGAAAAAAAAAAAAAAAGGTAACAGTTGGTAAGCATGACTGTGCAAAGGCTTGAAAATTAATATAGATCCTGCTGTAAAGGCATGATCATGCCCTCTGCAAAATTAGTACACATTTATCAACAATACTCATATTGGAACAATACTTCCTACATCATTCTATGAGCACAAAGCTTCAGAATGACCTGGCATAATCTGTGTTGCTGCATCTGTTTTTTTAGCATCTGTACACCTCTCTACTCACCAACATGTTGAGCAATACAAGAGTTCATCCTAAATGTGACTCTTCAGTGAGGCTTCTGAAATAATTCAAAGCTTCAGGGTGCTGAAAGTCCTGAGACTCACCAAGAAGAATTGCTAAACCTGTGGGGACTTGTGCACTGAGACTTCCCTCTTTCACAAGAAATTAGGTGTGTGCTCCTATGTAATCACTCAGAAAGATAGTGGGAAATGTATGCTAATGTGTTTGTACAAGGAAATATTCATCTCATGCTGGGAAGAGGACAAAAGGGAATTTTGCCAAGATGTTTAAGAATTCCATAGAGAGAGTTTTCTCATTATTTCAGGTTTTATTATTACTTGATTCTTAAAGGCGTCCTGCTCATTTTCATCCTATCCACAATCATGTATTGTTTAGAAAAATCAGTTGTTATTATCAAGTCTTCTATTGACATTATTGTAACTCAACATAAATTAATGTTCTGACATTTTACAGATGATGACAGCAATGTTTTGCTAGCCCAGAATCAACAAGCAAGTAGACTGAAAAAAATTCAGTCCATCTGCTGAGAAACACACCCAGTAAAGCGAAGAATTTAAGTAAAAAAAAAGTAAATTAATCAGAATAAAATTATATTGAGATCATTTAAGTCTGTAAATGGAAGAATTTCAAGTCTGTAAGTGACAAAGTTGAGAAAAGACAGAAAATGAGAAACACAGGGATAATGCAATCAAAATATGAGGATAGGAAAATACATTCCCCAAGAAACACAAAATAGAATGTAACAGCCACCAAGACAAGTGGAATTGCAGAGAGGATACTGCTGTGCAATTTAATTTATATATATGCAGGGAATCCCAGCTTCTAACTCTTGTCCTTGCCTGCTGCTGGTTGCGATCTGGAATAAAGACCTGATTTTGCTTTCTGTTGTACCTGCATGATTGATCGGGTCTGTCAAGGCAAACAGTGGTCAGATACTTTTCAAGACAATTCTCAAGGTCCTGGGAGGCTTCATGCACAATCAATATTGCTGACTCTGAGCATTTTCATACTTGCCCCTACACTCACCTTTAATTTGTTCCACCTCATCTTCAAATGTCACTGAACTCCTCCTTCGAGGGGGACAGACGCAATGTGGGGCATGAGGGCCATCTGAGCTATAATCTTCAAGAAGCATTGTATCTGTTCCTGAAAAGAACAAGAGCCCCCAAGTAAAACAGTAGCACTGGGACACAGTATCACGGCAAAAAGTTTTCAGCCTATTTTCAGCAGTTCCTTCAAAAGACATCTAAACCCAGCTTTTCCAAGTAAATTTCAGCTCAAATTAAAACACTGCACAGGAAAAGAATGAGGTCACTTTTCACTGGAAGGATTGGGAAGTCTTCTCATTAGAGACTGGCCATCACAGGCCCCAGGATCATGTACTACATGCAGCAAGCATGGGGAAGAGGGACTAAGGCTTCCTTCTGCTCTTCAGTAACTTACAGTAAAAGCATCTGAAGTGAAACAGCATTTCACAGTGGATCACTGTATATCCATTGCCAGGCTATGGACTGTGCTCCCTCCTTAACCAGCAGTGGCACTTCTAACAGCATTTTGGTATGGCTTTAGTTTTGTTCATTTGTTTAAACTGCTGTCACAAGATGGAAGCACCACATCCTCTTAACTGAGTCAGGTTTACCAGCAGGCTGCTCTCCTTTATCACATACAACTGTGGGATATCCACAACAGGCAGAAAACTACCAGCACAAAACAACTACCAAAAATAAATGCCAGCTCCACAGGCTTCCTTTACAAAAGTAGGAAACAAACCCCTTACACCAAGCAACCTTTAAAAGATCACCCTCTGGTGTCTCTAGAGCAGAAATACTCTCTAAAATAACCACTGCAGTTAAGGACTGGTAGCTGAGTTAGCTGCCAGAAAAATCTAGCAACAGATCTGGATAGAAAATTACCATCAGAACACTTTTTCCCTTTTCCAAACCATCTTCAATTGAGAAATCTTGAGTAGTAATGAAATCATAAGCTGAAACCATCCTAAGTGTGTATGTTTACACTGCAGGATGAACAAGGTCTCTTACAAAATAGGAAACAGAGAAGCACATTCTTCACAGCACTCTGTTGCTCTGTTCCTTGTGGATCCAGAGAAAGTCTCCAAAGAACAACAGAAACTGAAGGAGAAGGGCACAAAAGCAGTGAGTCTTGTTCCTAGGACACACTACCAAGGGAGAGTCACCATTCTGTAAGCAGCATTTTGCAAGTACAGCTATTGAGAGCAAAGGAGGAAAAAAGCAACTGCAGCAGTTTTGTTGGAACAGCTGGAACAGATGTTTCATGTCATTAGTCTACCAGGAGACATCTGTGGGTGTAAATACTGACTGTCCACGAGACTGCTGCCAAGCGCAAACTTCTGCCCAAGTAGGGAGCAAGAGATTTGCAGTTACCTGAATCCTGTGAGCAGCTGAAACCTGTGTCTCCTGTGCTGCTGCTGTTTCCCAGTGGCCTCCCACCTGCCATGAGGGCAGTAAGGTGAGGAGATAGTCCCAAATCTGCAAAAAAGTTTTAATTTTGTTACACAGTGAATGGTTAAGGAGTTTGCAATGGTAAAAACCTCTTCCAGTAATACCCACTGTACTGCCTTATTTATTATTCTGCATATAAAACTGACCTTGCTGAAGCAGAGAGCACGCCTTCTGGACTTCCCATCTTAGAAATCCAGTGAGCAGCTCTCAGGTTTGGGAAGGCAAGTCTCCTTTCTCTCTGCACCATCTCCCTCCCACTCTTGTTGCAAGTCCATGTGTTTTATCAGCCAGACAGGCTGAGCACCAAGTGTATGCTCTCACATGGATGGGGAGATTTGCCAGGCATCTTCTAGACAGAGAATAACCTGGTAGCCACCAGCAGCTGTGACAGGCCATTAGTGTTGGGAAGAAGCTTAGGAGCAAGGTTGGGGCACAGAGATGCCCAACTTCTTTCAAATCTCCAAAACAAGAAGGGAGAAGATCTGTGAGATTTTTACAAAAGATGCTGCTGTGGATCCTACCTTGAGATTCTGTTGTGAGTTTTTTGGGGGTCTTTTTCACTTCCCTATCAGCCTCCAGCTAAGACATCTGATGTCAGTTGAAGCTGACAGCTTCAACTATATCACTTGGAAAAAGAAAGAAATTTCCTGTCTTTTCCCTTCCTGTTTTTTCCCTCAGTTTCCAATGTATTAATCCACAGCATTTTCTGGATACAGACTTGCCAAAGCTCCTGGAGCTTGTAGTGTGGCTACAGCTCCTTAACTCTTTAATTTACATGATAGTCTCTCCCAGTGTTCAGGTTGCAGAAAAGATAATGGATGCCTTGCTGCTCTCATCTTCCCTCTGCATTTTAGATCATCCTTCCCAATTAAATAATTTCAGTTCTTGCCTCTGCATGAAATATCCCTTGAAGATGTTCTATATTTGGAAGCTTCTGTACATGACCAGGGAACTTATTAAAAACCTGAATGTCATTGCATTGCTACTCTAAAAAAGAAAAAAACAAGAAACAAACAAACAAACTGAGCAAGTGGAGGTCTCAGACTCCAACTTGGGGACACACCAAATAGCTCCATGGTTTTACACCACAGTTTTACTTTGTTTATGACCTTTTCTTCCCAACCATCAAGCATAAAAGCTGAACTTGCAGAAACAGTTACGCCAGCAGAACCTTAGTGGATTTTAGAGAGTTGTAGCATGAGGCCATTAATCAAAGAAAAAGTGCAGTAAAAAGTACTGCTGGTAGGGCTCAAATCTGGGCAACACAAAATGGAAGGCACACAAAAGGAAATGCTTGAGAAAGAAGAAAATAAATTATGTTTATTAACCTCATCACTATGTCTCCTCTGCCTGAGAAAGTTTTACTATAGTAGGAGAAAGATGTTAACTATAAAAAAAGAGAAGTCTCCTTTCAAATGTCTATAACCTGAGTGATGAAAGACTGCTGAAAATTCCAGAAACATCCAACTCTCTTTACAGAGCCCTGAAACATGCCAAACACAGGCAGACAGGAAGCCTTGCTCTTGGTGGTAATTATGGAAGTGTCTTTTGCAGCCACGTCTTACCTGTGATCCTGTTGGAAATGCTAAAGAGCCTCGATGTCCTGTGCCGCTGAACAAAGGACTTGCGGTAATACCGATCCCCAAAGCACATCCCCAGGAGTTCCTTGCGCACTGTTTTGTTCCACAGCCCATAGATTAGCGGATGGCAAATGGCACTGGAAAAGGACAGCCATGTAGCCAATGTTTCCAAAGCAGGGGAAATACTGTTTTTACCCCAAAGTGCCTCTGATGTTATTACCACCATGTAAGGTCCCCACGTAATGACGAAAGCTCCAATGACAACCAAGATGGTTATGAAAGCTTTGCACTGGTTGGCGGAGTAAACAACCCCTTGGAAAGCGTTCCTTCGGCTGCCAGAGGAGGACGTGGAGGTGCTGGAGTTCTTCCTCCCGTTCCTCTGTGAGTCCTCCTCCACAATGACAACACTCCCACAGTGGATTTTGCGGGCCTTAATCCTTGCCACACGGAATATGAATCCATAGCAGATCATCATGACCACGAACGGCAGCAGCGCGCACCAGATCTGCCAAAAGGCCGTGTAGGCAGCCTCCTTGTGCCAGGCTGCCACACACATCCACTTGAATTGGTCAAACTCCAAGGAGGACCAGCCGAAAAGGGGAGGGAGGCAGCCAATAAGGGAATGCAGCCACACGTACACAAGAGCTACCACTGCTCTGTTGCCCGTTATCTTCATCGGATAAACCATCGGGTACAGCACAGCGTAGTACCTGCGGGGCAAGAAAAGAAGTAGTCCACAGGAGCATAAAAGACATACAAGAAAGAAAAGAACACTCTTTAATGATGCTAATATCTAGTTCTCTTTTCTTCAAACAGGTTCAGAAACCTGCTTTAAAAAACTCTAGATCAATGTCTGCATTTTCCATTATTTATGACATCACTTTCTCTTGCTCCACATCAAAATTTCAGGACGGGCTGAAGTAAAAATGACATTCAGCAGTACACCATGTTACCCTCTGTAGTGCTTCTCAACTCAGTGAATTGGCAGTGAGTTACTCTATGAGAGGAGCAGACAATTTGTTACAATTACCAAAGAGCAGCTTACCTGTCTATAGCTATGAGTCCCAGAGTGAGCATGCTGGCTGAGCTGATCAGCATGTAGAGCAGGGCAGAGAAATTGCACCAAACAACCCCGAAGATCCATTCTCGCCTGATGGAGCTGGTGACAACAAAAGGCAGCACCAGCACAGAGAGTAGAAAGTTGGAGAGGGTCAGGCTGAACACAAACTTGTTGCTCAAGGTGAGAAGGTATGACTTGCGATACAGAGTGACAACAATCACCAAGTTGCCCAAACAGATGAAGATGGCAATGACAATTATAGCAATGGATTCGGTGACTCTGACTGCCCCATCTTCCTCCGTGGTCAGGTTCCTCAGGCCTTTCCCATTGCTGAGGGAGGAATTGCTGTTCATGGTCAGAGTGTGCAGACCTGGGGCAGCCAAGACATGCTGAGCAGTTAGAAGCAGAACAGTGCTCAGAAACATTCAGGTAAGTGTTCTCCAAACTCTTTCCAATGACTGGAGGCCCTTTTGCCTTTGTTAAAATTTACCTGTGGTATATGGAATATACAGGAAACTGCATATTTTAGATGGGCAAGCGAAGGGGCAGTAAATTGCCTGTAGGAAGACCAAAGAGGACAACACCAAGCCTAGAACAGGGAAAACAAGAAGAGGTGGAGAGGGGAAAATAAGAAATAAAATAGGCATATTTTACTTTAAAATTTTTACAGATCTTACTTGTTTCTAAGTCCTACTTACCAGGCCCTGTATCTAGGTTGTGAAGAAGTAAGAATGTCACTATCAGTCTTTGTTTGTCTTACTTTAAAGAAAGTAATTAAAAAAAAAAAATGCCTATACCAATAGTTACCTTATATTCTGCCTATACAGCATTTACTGGTGGTCTCTGGATGCCTGGCTTGTCATACCCTGCTGACTCTTCCTTAGCAGTTGCTAAGTAACATTCAAAGACTCAGGGACCACTGCACATACTCTCCCAACCTCATTTCTCCAGGTTCATAATCACCTTAGCTACAGCACTGATTGTATTTTTCTGCCAACACCAAAGAACTGGAGAATTTGGTTTCTGTACAGGTTTGAAAGACAGTTCCTTGCATTAAGATGAGGTCCAAGCTACAGAAATGCTTGAGAACCTTTAATTCTCAGCTTCTTAGTGTTAGCATCCATCTCACTGATTCACAGCCTCATTCTGTGAAACCTTCTTTTTTCTTCCAATTCCTAAACAATTCCTCTTTCACCTGCTGCCTCCAAATGACATTCACTACCTACTTCATTCAGTCCTCCAGCCATCTGCAGGACAGCATAATGAACAAACAAGCAAACGCAAATATGCAGACCAGAAAAAGTAGAAGAGTCCACCAACAAATATAAAGTTGATTTTAGCTTTTCTGGGAAGTAAAGGACTCAGGAAAGTTATCTCAGCTAATTCTGCAACTGTGCCAGGATGGGTCATAGGTCTCAGACAGCTGGGCGTACTCACGGAAATGCTTCCATCTGCATGGCTGCTGTGGCATTAGGCAGCATTGTCAGTCTGGAAAGACGCCTTTTTTCCATTTTTATCTCTACTTTCCTAAGAACATAATTAAAGACATTACTGGGCCATGCTTTGTAAAAACATAACTTAGCTCTTCCCTAGCCTCTGACTGAGGATGCGTGCAAAAACACTTCCCCTCGAGTTTCTTTCTCTCTCAGCACGTCTGCACCACCTCTGTCTGCCTTTCCAACACTTTTTGGCCGGAGCGGGTTTTGCGAAGGCGGCTTCCCCCGCGGCCGCTCCCCGCCATAGCGATGCCCGGGGCACCCGGCGCTCCCGGTCCCCTCACGGCCCTGCTGCACCCTGCGGGAAAGCGGCCTCTGGCAGAGGTGGCCCTCCCGGGGCAGGGCTGCCCGGGGCGGGGACAGCATCCCATCCCATCCCATCCCATCCCATCCCATCCCATCCCATCCCATCCCATCCCATCCCGGCCGCGGGCAGTGCTTCCCGGACACACACAGCGGGTGGGACCGAGTTAGAAATACTATGGGGAAGGGGGGTTTCGCCA